ACACACACACACACACCCAGTCATGGAGAGCAGGCCCCCTAGTAATAATAATAACTAATAAGTAGGGCTAGGATTTTGTAGCATTTGCATTTTCTTTCATAGTACTCCAGGACATAGCTAATCAAAAATAAAATTCGATTCATTCATCACAGAGTTCAAATATGCAATTTTGTTTTTGCTTTTTTTGCTTTTTCTTGTGATATTCGTAAATAAATGCTTTATTGGTACTTTTTTGTCAGTTTATTAGCTTTTTAATTGGTTTTTGTTAATTATACGCATATTTAACATTTACGTACATATTTATCTAAATTATTATTTTTTCATTTATTTTAATTATATATATTTTGTGAATTCGTAGTGAAATATTATCGCCTTATCGGAAAATATTTCTGAAAATAGATTCTTAGATTTTGTGATTACTGTTTACTGAGTGGGGAGTAGTGGTCACGTAATACGATGTCTGTAATATCGTCGTAATATTATGTCTGGACTTCAGACGCAATGAGAACGATATTTATTGACTTGTTTACTATGTCTAAATTTACAATAATATTATTTAGCATTTCCTAATTATAGGAATTTATATTTATATTCGAGTGCTAGCGTACGGAGTATTGTCGCGACTCGCGGAACCACGATATGTCGATATCAGTAATCGACAATACGTTATGCCGACAAGTCGTTAATCGTTTTTTCCTGTAATTACGTATTCGCGTGTGCTGTTATTTTTTGATATTAAAAATATTTTTCAGCTAAACTTCAAAATTAATTTTTAAATCTTTTTTAGTTGCATTTTCCTGGTCAAATGCTTTTTTTTGTAGCATTATTGGCAATTTTTTAATTCCTTTATTGTAGGTTTTTAGTGCTTCATTTTCCTAGCCCTACTAATAAGTAATAACAATAATAAACACATATGCCACCACCGTGCCACGTATTGGTATTACATAAATTTCAAATGAAATTACTTACTATTCGTTGTTGAGAGAATGAAAAAATAATATTACTATGACCATCTTTACGCTTCGCCAGAGGTTCACATATTATTATTATCTACGAAATAGTAGTAAAACGTACATAGCAAGTTAACTCCCGGCAGTGTTTGGGCTCTATGTGCGTCATCGTCGACATCTCCCTACCTCCCACCAATGATCACCAACAACCTCACCGAGAGGGTGGAAAAAAATTCGGGTTTTAATTAGATCGCAATATTTTACGCGAAACACCCCTACAGACTTCATCACGATGCTCGACCACGATCAAGAGAGGGCTGGGGGCAACGACGACAACTCGTCGACATGCACGTATACCCTCCGCCCACGGCTAAAGGGTTTGTATTCCAAGCGAATAACGGACCCGTATTTAAAAAAAAGATGTATACACACATTTTATGTACATGCATACGGCGGGAATGCGAACACGCCGACCTAGCGACCCTCCCCTCTCTTCACCGCCCGTAGATTTTTTGACCCTCATTTTTGGGCAAAAAAAAAATTAGTAAAAAAACACATCGGGTATGCGACATACCAATATTAATATCATATACTCGTACTACACTGCTTCCGAATACGACGTCAACATGACTTTCCGCAAGTGTTTACGAACGCGCGTAATTAAATATTTTAAAAGGGTTTTGTTTTTTTTTGTTTTATTATTCCCTCCCAGTTTTCGTTTTAATGACATTGCGATCCTGTCCACACCGTGCACCGCACGATTTTCTCGCAGCTGGCCGTTGGCGACTGCAAAAAAAAAAATCGACGCTCTACTTACAAACCGGACTTTAACGCTGCCGGAAACCAAATAAAGGGAGGTACGTAAAATAAATGCTCACTTAAACGAAATTCTATTGCGATTTGTGACACACCATCACGATTCTTAACCGTGGTGTGTTTAGCACGCTGAATTTGAAAAAAATAATATACGATTAAGTATAATATATAAGTATGTAACTAAACTAGTACCACGGTACATTTTAATGGGTGAAATATAACTTTATCCCATCTAACGTAATGATTTACATACTGCAATTATTGGTAATTTGAGTTATCATTTATTTTTGATGATTGTTCACATTTGAAAGTACCGAAGCGGCCATTGGGAGGCACCAAATCACGTTATTTATTCATATTTAAATATTATTGTATTCGTTATATTTTTGAAGTGTAGCACAACTAAAAAGACGCGCATATTATTACTGATGTACGATGAGAATTTGGGATGTAAGAGTTTTTTGTCTCCAAAAAGTAGCTGATAATGCCGGCGATTTAGAAATATACGCCCACCACCCACTTCAGTACTCTTAACTCGCGGTTACAAGCAAACAGAAAGCACACCGCCGACACTCGGGGAAATCCGCCTTTACCCAGCCAACGACTATTTCGACCGACAAGAACGGATGGTAACGCCAGATGAACAAAAAAAATTATGAATAAAATCAGTTGGTTCTGGTCGTAGAAATCGAAACGATAATAATTATAATCATCTGATAGGATTCTGGCGAAATACTGAAAAATAATAATCAATTGATGGATATTGTTTACAAGATTGTATTACGAAAAACCGTTATCGTGTAGAATAATAACCGTTGTAGAACACAGTACTGGTGTTTACAGAAATGGGATAATATAATATTGTTGTAATTATTATTATACACGAATATTTGTAAACATTTTATTTACCCGTCGTTTTCACACTTCTAAAAATTCAACGCAAGCAAAAAAAACCCGGGATGAGTGGAGATCGGTCGTAAGCACATACGAGAACAATCGGAGTCGAAAACGACGTAAGTATTTAAATAACCTAAACCGTGGGATTTTTTCGAGATAATAAAAAGAAATGCAGATTTTGTAATAGAAAAAAAATGTGTTAAGAATCAGTATTTATGAAATACAACAACGACGCGACTCCAATGACAAAATAATACTGTAAATAATTGTAATCGTTTCCAGGAATACATCTCGCGCGCGTTCAAAGTGATATTTTCGGTCACTCGAGCAGAATACTAAGCTAACATCGATATCACGAGGAATATTATGGTCTGTGTAGGCACCGTAGTCGCCGTATTACATTATAATGGAAAAACTAAAACTATAGAGCCGACGACTAAAACACAACTCAAGACACGTAGCACAAATGAAGCGTTTAATGAGACACATTTTATTACCCCGTCTAAACAACAACAAAATCCGATGCGCACCGACCGCCGTCGCAGTGGACGTCCTTCGACCAATTTTTCAACGCGAACACACTCAAACGAGCGCGCGCGCACAAGGAGACCCACGTGGTGCACTGAAATATGTTATTTTCCCGCCAACGAAGATTACGACCCCTTCGGGAACCGCCTTAACACGCTCGAACATTGTCTCAGATAATAATAATCTCTTGGACTTCACGTCGTCGGCGCAGTGACGTATACACGGGGGGGGGGGGCGAGATTTGAGGAATGGATTACCGCCGGGGTTCATTTGAAAAATACTATTTTAGAGCCCCAAAAATTATTCGTTCATAGATGTGTATTTGGATAGCGCTAAAAATATTATACAATACACGTCCACGTTACGCCGACCTGCAAGTGTTTGGAGTGACGAGTGTCGAATAACAATATTATAATATTAATGCTCAAATGCCCGATGTCAGTTCTGATAAAATGAACACGAGTTACCTATTCTAAATGTATACACAAATACACAATACGTACAATATGACAATGAGACTATCTATAGGTAACTGCAGTACTATAATTATTATAAATAGCAACAACAGCCTAACTAGCCGACGATCTCGCACGGGTAATAATAGACTAAATGGGTATTGACATGTCGGCGCAATGTGAAAATAACATGACAAATTAAGTCATTGGTAAGTGAAGTCTAAAAAATGTTAAGCATGATGTATTTTGTATTATTTTTAGATTTCATTATGTTAATTTATTTATAAAAAAATACGGAACGGGCCCTTATGAACATTATAAAACCCAACGGACATTATGTATATAAAGTAATCAACAAATTTTAATGACATAATATATTTAAATCATTGTTTAAATACCACAAAATATGTATATTATATAAATTAAAACTATGCTTAGGTACTAAATACATTTATATAGTCGTATAAAATATTAAATGGGCAGGTATTGTATTTTAATTTAGCCAAACATATACAACATTTTAGGAAAAAACAAGCTATGGGTTACATATAATTTTATATTATTCAAGGTAACGTATTTTGCGTTTATTATGTATCGTTATAAAATTATCACCTCCTTAGCAACACGAGGACTAAAGTGTCAAGAGTTTTTACAGTTGATGAACTAGGTCTACAGATAGATAAGACACATTTAAATAATTTTAAATGCGCCACTGAGTCGGCTGTCGGCGGATTTTATGGTTTTATCTACTTTTGGTCGATTTAGCGCGATTGCTATCCAAAACACGGGAACTGAGGGTTTGATGTTCCCAAAAAAAAAACCAAAAAGTTTACTGGGCTTTTTGGACGGGTATTTGAAGCCACCGATTAATTTTCTCCAGGACAGTCTCGGGGGCGCGACAACAACACTGTGGTGGTGCGCGGAGACGGAGCGACGAGGTACCAGACGGGAACTTTCGAAAGAGGGTCGAAATCCCAACCCCCCAAACAGAGAGGGAAAAAAAGGCCACGTTTTTCGCCCTCTTCATACCCCAAAATCTACGACAGACACGCTGGGAAAAGGGAAGGAAGGCGTCGGCGGCGGTTACTCACGCACGCCGCCGACAGTCTGACTAGGGCAACAATATTAAATTCGTGTGTTTACGGACGCGACGCCGAGACTTGTACACAATACCAGGCGGCGGCGGCGGCGATGTTTACACACGCGAGTCGCATACCAACTTAATCTCGAAACCCTCACACGAAAAACGTTCACACGACTCGACGGTGATAATAATAATTAAACAAAAAAAAAAATAAAAGGTAACAATAATAATAACCTGTAAACGATACGAGTATGATATTGTTTTATTTACCTCTCGAAAACGTCTTTGAAACAGGCCCCGCGCCTCTTGGACGACGAAGACCCGGAACCAGAGCCGGAACCGGAACCGGCACCGGTGCTGGTGCTGGAACCGAACGATCCCGAGTGTGCGGGTGACACGCTGCTGGCGGAATTGGTGACGGGTGAACTAGAACCGTTGGACGAACCGGACATGCTGCCGGTGCGGAGCCGAAGTTCGGAGTAGTCGACCATCGTCATCGTGGACGCGGCGGCCGCTGGTTGTCTGGTGGCTGGCTGCCGGCGCTTCTTCTTCTTGCCGGCGGTCGGCGGTGCGGCCGACGTCCTGCCGCAGTCCACCGTGTCGTCCACGGTGACGCCGCTTCCGCCGGACGACCGCCTGCGTATGACGGAAACGGACGGCGACTGCGGCCACTCGGAGTCCTTCTTCAGGTAACCGCGGCCGCAACGGCAGCCACAGGCCTTGAACGCCATTTCGTAGCCTTTCTTGTTGAGGTTCACCACGTTGTTGTTGTTGACGTTGACCGTCCACAGGTCTTTGATGCGCCGGCCGTTGGACTGCGGCGCGTTACCGTTGGCGTACGACGCGGCCGCGTTCTTCATGTAGACCAGCACCAGCCGTTCCCAGGCGTCGAAACACTCGCGGTGCATGTACCGGCCGGCCGGACACCCGCCGTCGCTGCACACCACGCGGGCGTACAGTTCGGCGGCGCGCGGATCTTCTGGCCTGATGGGCGCGGACCGCATGATGCAGTCGCCGGTGGGCACGCAACACTCTTCGAAGTGCTGTTGTTGTTGGTGGACGAGTTGATAAGGCTGCTGTTGCTGTTGCTGCTGCTGGAACAACTGTTCCATGGCCGTTGTGGTTGACGGGCCGAACAAGTCGGCGAAATGTCCGATACCGTTGAAACCCATTGCGTTCCGGCGAGGAGCCATTCAACGACGACTGTGACGGGCGACGCTAGTCGACGACCACGACGAAGGCGATCGCATGCCGCGCACGGCCGACGTCGGTGTCTTGTCCGTTGATTGCGTTCAAGTCTTGTTTTTTGTCTGGATTTATAGTTTTATATTTACTCGGCGTGCGCTAAAAGCACCCGACAAATCGGCGCTCGCGGCGACGAAGGATAAACAAGTTATACCGTTTTGTTTTTTTTTTTTGTCAAATTGTTATATCGACGTACGTACGTGATACGATGTGGAAAACGAAACGATCGTAAGATTTTCCGCAACGAAACCCGCGAAATCGTCTCGAAACAAGAAAATAATAGTCAAAATTCAAAAATGATGGTAAACAAAAAAAAAAAAAATATTATTAATAACGATTTGTACTTCGTCACAGGTGTGCGAGGAGTGCGTGTGTGTTTGTGTCTGTGTTTGAGTTTGAGTGTGTGTGTGTGTGTTTGTTTGTGTGTTTTGTGTGTCGCGGTGCGTGCGGTACGGACGACGTACGGCCACTTTCTGTTTCGTTGACCGACTGTGCGGAGATACCCGAACGCGAAACACCCGCGCGACAACAGCGGCGGCGGCGGCGGCGGTGACGATACACACTTACGCGGGCTCGCGCGCGCGCGCGCTCTCTCACAGATCCCAATTGTGCCCGCCCGGTTTTGCGCCGTGTGCGTGTACGCGACCGTCGATGTGCGTTTGTGTGCGTGCGCGCGCCACCCAAAACCGTGTACCGGTGTGCGTGTGTGTGCGTGTGACGGTCACAGTCAAGGGCAGCGGCGGCGGTGGTGTGCGGCGGCACCGGCGTCAGTGGCGCCCACTGGTGCGGAGTCACGATATCACTCCCCTCCGCCGCGCCGCCGCCGCCGACACCGGCAGGGTAGTATCGCGGCGTGCGCGTCACGTGACCGCGGCTCTGCGAGTATGTTTTTCGGGGCGGCGATAGTGCGCAGTGAATTCGGCGACGCCGCAGGGGGGGTCTCGAGGGCGGCGTCCCTCTAGAATTTTCGGCAATTTTTCGGACGCCGAGTGGGCCACGGCCGCGTCCACCCACCCACCACTGACGTCACGGGTGTACCGTTGCGCCGATCGTGCCCCGCGGATTTATTGCCATTATAGAATATTATAAATATTATTATTATTATTACTGTTATCGTATTTACCGGATTCGTTTATTTTTCTTTCGCCCATCACTAACCACTCAGACGTTTTAAATTTTTTTTGGTTCGCGTGTTCCGCCTTCCGCGTCGGAAATCATATTATTCCCGCACCGACCATTTTACGCCCGACTATCGAATTTCTCGAATATTCCGCTGGCCAACATGGCACCGCGTCGACCGACTGCCCGAATACTCATTATAATGTGAGTTTGAAAGAAAAAAAATTCAAAGTTTTAAATTACATCGCCTATATTAAATTGTATTATGATTACATAAGCAGTAACGCCGTTCTTTTTTTAGTTCTAAACAATTTTAATAATATAATAAGAAAAAAAACACTGATTAACAGATGCATGTGTATACAAAACTGTAACAAGAGATTATTTACGTTTATTTAAGACTCCGAGAAAACAAATTATATAATACATGTAAAAAAGATAAACTTTTGATAAACATTTAAGAATTAAAGTAATTTTAAATGACCATAATATCGTTAGAAATAACACCAAATACGTCGGTGTACTCCGTGCAATGCGAGCTCTATAATATTAAAATGGATATAATAATATAATAATATACTTATGCCGGGTTGTATAAAAAAGAAATTATTTAAATGATTCAATATTTAATGGACCAATTACGGGCCACTAAATCGTATTTAAGGGACAATTAGTTTAGTATTGATTCGTTAAAAATTTAAAATATTTAGTCGATATTTAGGTTATCTTTCATGCAACCCTTCATGCAACATCTTATTATTATGTACCTCCGGCAATATTCGGCACGGGAAATCCAATTTTGATTTGCGTTCGAATGATTTACGGTGTGCTCTGTGCACGTCTTGGCTTGTTGCATGTTTACTAACTCTAAGTCAAATAATATAATAATATTGTATTTAATATCATACTGGTATGAAAGAAATTCACATGACGTTAATAACAACAATATGTGAATTGTGAATAATAAGTAATAACACAATTGTATAGAGATAATAATAAAGCAGTTCATAAATAGCCAATAAAAAAAAAAAATATCATCAAACAGAATAATACATTTATAATATTACGATCATTGATTAAATATCAACAACATTCATTGATATTCACAATATTATTTGAACTGCTGATGACAGCTATAAGTGATATAACAATATTTATGTGTATATATATATATTATTATTACATACTAAAATAATACAATATTTATAAAGATAATATTATGTAATGCGTAGAATGTACATCGCTTATGTTATGTATATGTGGGCTAAGGTTTTTTCACATAAATACTATGTTATTGTATGTAGATGTTTTTAAAATTAATTTTTTTCTTTCTTATAATATCAGACGTTTGAGACATTTAATAGATTTAAATACAAACGCCTTTCTAACATTCCGGATACGTTTGAGTTTAGAATGAATTGATTTTTGAAACCGTAATTATTACTTGACGATAAATGATAACAATTTAATATGGGATTAATTTTTAAAATATTATAAAAACAACTATAACTAAATATAACTAGAAGTTTAACTGCATAATTTACTATTGAAAAATAGTGCCATTGGTTAGATGAAAGATAATTCAACAATTTTGTATCAATGTTGAAATGGTAAAATTCTATACCCGAGCAGTTAAAAAAGACATACGTTAATTCCTGTAAATGAAATGTGTAAGTTCCTACACGGTAAAAATGGGTGTTTGTTAATTACTTCAAAATAATCACAAGGTTTTGTTATTGTAAGATTTTGAGACGAAACATTAATTATTATAACTTATAAGTATCATTATATAAAACTAAACTACACGACTATGCCGTTTTTATTTTTCGGGGTTAGTCTTTTTTTTCTATACGATATTTTGATACATGAATGCTTTAAATTGGTATGAACACGTTCGTTGTTAAAATTGATTAAAATTAATATTATAAAAGTTAGAAAATGGCATAATGCATAGAAAAAAAAATATATATATTTAAATCCTACTCCGTAATGGTGTTTAATATGAATAATATGGTAAACATATGAAGTTCATATTACAGTTCTTAGTTTTTGTGTAATAACTAAATAAAGCAGTAAAAATGCTTCAATTTTATTTTGAGTGATGTTCTAGCTATGAAATATTAGATCGAATAATGACGGGGTCAATAGTATAATTTCCATTTCTTTTCAAAATAATTGGGAAAAATAATAATCAATGAAGTGAAAACCTGAATTTTAATGTAAAATCAATTCTCGACGGTCAATTTTGCTTTTTTTTATCAAAATGAATTAATGTCATAGGCCCTATAATAACCTTGTACCAAGTTTAATGTACTGTTTATAGTATAAGTCTATTATTAATGTAAAAATTATCTTAATATTATTTATTTTAATGCTTTCTATAGCCATAAACAGTATTCAGTGGTCGAAGGGGAAGTGGAGTTAAAATATGTTGGATCTTTTTGAGCTATATTTTATAAAGTTGAAATTTGAAATAAATTTACTTGTTAAAAATGTTATTGGTTGGCACTTGAACAATTTCGTGGTAACGTGTATAATTACTTACTCAAAATGAAATGTTCAACACATTTTAAATTTTATTTTAAGTTTAACTCGTGAAGTACGAATTAATATTAATCTACTGGTCGTTGGTATTGACTTATAAGTTATAACATATGTTAATAACAGCTATAATGGTCATATATATTACGTAAATGAAATGATTGAAATGTCAAATTATACAATATAATAGTAAGCAATTTGATTTTAGAAAAATATGTTCAACCTACTGTATTATTAATAGAAGAAAAATAAATTACTAATAGCAATTTAAATAGGTATAATATAATATAATATTCTTAGAAACATAGGTGACGCTACAGTGACGATAACAAATACTCCCTCGGGTTTTTTTATTGTAGTATTTGGAAGTTGGATAATATTTCATCAAAAACATTTTTAAAACACAAATATACAATAGGTATCAACTATTACATGAAAAATCTTATCGGTATTACCAATATCATAATATCATAGTATCGTTATTATTAAAAATAAATAGATTAATGTCACAAATTTTTAATGATTAATTAATGTTTCTAATAAGTAATGACTAATGACGTTTTTATCTATTTTAAAACAATAAAACAAGTCTTGTTTACTATCGCCTATTTCATAACAATGACACAAAAAAATCGTTAAATCAGTAGGTAGCTCGTCTGAAATTCCGGGACGCAAATAATTAACCTGGACAAAATTTATTATCTGAGACGCGATCATAAGGGAAAAAATGTAAGTGGCTTCTCCTCTACAGTATATAACTATTTAGACATCAATCTCATTGAAAAATCATAAAATGTATGTATGTATGTTTATTTTTTTTTTTTATGAAATCCCATAATAATAGTTAATTTTTCCAGCATTAATATCACATGATATAACCACCCAATTGGATCTGTGTTTATTGGAATCCCAAAACATTTAATAATAATATTGCCCAACAGTGTGTTTAATCTGATTTCAAATGAAACATAAATTTAAGTGCACAGTTTGACAACAAAATAAAATACTCAATCGATTTGAAATGTGTCAAACGCTGTAACCGGAATATCACCTAACCTAACCGTTTGAGTATTAATAAACGAGAATGTATTCAGGTATGTTTATTTTATGATAGGTAATAACTTAAAAATGTAAAATATTTATAGATCTAAATATTAAATCTGAGCAAAGTTTGTGTGATATAGTTTTGACATTTTGTTTAAAATGTCGAAGGAAAAATCCGATAAACCGTCACAATCGGAGTGACAGAATAGTTGAAAAACTACAAGTATGATGATGGTTATGATTGTTTTAACCCAGTCAAACGTCCAAACCCAACCTGTCCAACCGAAAAATCATATCGTAATCTGTTAGATTTGTTGCTCTGCAGATCGTGAAATATTTAGCTGATAATATTATGTAAGTAATGCAACTATGTTAGGTTACCACTACTCGATGCGTCTTTACTTTTTAAGAATCAATTATTATTGCTATTATTATCAGTGGCCGAGGAGAGGGTTTAAACCATTGGAATCGTTCCAATTATCATACTTTAACCAGCCGGGACTGGCGGCAGGATTCCAATTATTCAGTTGCACGCGGTTTATTGAGGATGCAGTTATGTAATTATACGGTAAAAACCATTAACCACAAACATATTTCGTACAAGGATATAATATCGCATAAAAATGAAAAAAAATAGTTTTAATCATCGTTCTAATCTGCAGCCGTAAGTCAAATAATATTTGACTGAGCCCTTGGAGGGATATTATTATTATTATTATTATTATTATTAGGTATTATTAGATTCACATCATTGCAGTAAGCCGTGCAGATGAGTAACAATTAATTTTCTTACGATGTTATACTACCACTTATAGGTACACAATGTTATTACATTTTACATCATTTAGTATGACAATGTCGAAATA